GGTACGGCATCGCACCGCGATCTCGCCCTCCTGCCGCCTCAGCTGCTCCTCCAGCCGCGCCCTCTCCGCCGCGTGGCCGGCCACCAGATCCAGGTGGCGCTGCAGCTCGGCCACCCCCTTGACCACGTCACCCCGCAGCCGCTCCGCACGCACGGCCGCGTCGGTCGCGAGCCGCCGGTCCGCCTGCTGGTGCTGCCGCAGCTCGGAGAGCTCCTGGCGCAGGGCCGCCAGCTGGCGGGCGCGCTCGCCCAGCTGCCGCCTCAGGAGGATGACGTCACCAGCGGGCTGCTGCTGCTGCTGCTGCTGCTGCTGCTGCTGCTGCTGCTGCTGCTGCTGCTGCTGCCCCTGTTGAGGCTGCGACTGAGCCTGAGGTCGTAGTAGCGCCGGAGGCTGCTGCGCTGCCGGCGGCATCAGCTGATCGTCGTTGGCAGGCGCCGGCGGCTGCGGCTGGGCCACCGGCCGCTTTGCGTTCACTCGCTGTTTGCGCGCCGCCAGTGCGTCCCCCAGATCCTGGCTTGGCGCCTGCTGCTCAATCTCCTTGTGACACTCCTGCTCGCTCTCTCCATGCTTCTGTTGCTGCTGCTGCCGCTGCTTCTGCTGTTTTTGCTGTTGCCGCTGTATCTGCTGCTGCTCTTGCTGTTGTTGCTTTTCAAGCCGCTCCCGCTGCTGCTGCTCCTCCTGCTCATCCCGCTCCTGCTGCCGCTGCCGCACGTCCTGCAGCTCGTTCTCCAGCTGCTTGCACCGCGCTTCCAATACCACCGCCGCCTCCACCCGCGCCAGCAGCCGCCGCTCCGCCTCCTGCGCGCGCCGCTCGCCGTCCCGCCGCGCCGCCGCCGCGTCGCGCTCGGCCGCCGCGCAGCGGTCGCGCCAGTGCGCCTCGCAGCCAGCCAGGCGCTCCTGCAGCTTGGCCAGGGCGCCGGCCGACTTGGTTCGGCTGCCCTCCAGTGCCTGTGTCAGCTCCCTGCGAAAACCCAGGGGTTGATGCGATCGGTGGGGCTGCAGGGATCCCAGCTACCACCATTACCTGCTCCGCAGGACTCAACGCACTGGCTACAAACCCAGGTGTATGCCTCGCTCGACCCCGCAGGAAAGCGCGGCTGCAGGCGGAAGGGGGGCATTTGGGGCGAGCAGCCGGCGCCGCCGTACCTGACGCGGGCCATGGTGCGGGACAGCAGCTGCTCGGCACACGCCGCCATCTGACCGTCCCCCTCCGCCAGCCCGACAGCCTCCAGCCGCGCCTCTGCCCGCGCTGCGCGCTCCTGGGCCTCTTCGAGCTTGGCGGCCGACTCGCGCAGCTGCTGGGCAGCTTCCTCCACCTGTTGGCGCAGGTCGAGGGCCGCGTCCTCGAGCTGCAGCTGGTGCTGCTTTGCCCTGGCCGGGACATGGGGTGGCGGCATGCATTTCAGAACAGGTCAGTGCAGCTCCAGCATGATGCTGAATGAGGACGGTCTTGCAACCGTATGGAGAGTTGGACTCAAAACACTGCACCGGGGGAGAACAGGCGCTATGCCGTGCGAGGACCAGCTGTGGCCGTCAAATTGACCCCCCAACCGCCGCACCGCTGCAGCTCCCGCTGCTCCGAGTCCAGCGCCGCCGCCAGCCGCTGCACCTTGGCCGCCAGCCGCCGCGCCTCCGCCCCGGCCGCCTCGGCCGACATGCGGCAGCCCGCGGCCTCGGCTGCAGCACCGTCCTCCGCGTTCCTGGCTTCCTCCAGCTTCGCCTCTAGAGTGTCACGCTCCGCCTGTGGAGCCAACGTCATGATGCAGAAGAGACTGTCATGCACGGTCATGCAACAGTCTTGATGCCTGCTGCCCTGCTTGCCTTGCGCGCCTGAAACCGTGGACAAATCCGTCAATGCGGGCGTTGCTGCACGTCCTATGTTGCCCCGCTCCGCCGGCCACACTGCATTGGTTGAAGTGTGCATTTGCGCAGCGAAGGTCTACGTCTGCAGCGCGCATACACAGGTCAACGACTGCGCACCTTCAGGTCGCCCGCCAGGCGCCCCAGCAGCGCGTTCTCAGTTCGGTATTCGTTCAGCTTGTCCCGCAGCTGCAGCAGAAAGCAAGGCACCGGCAGCGAGGGCGCGGGGGGGGAGCGGAATGGTGGCGCAGGGTATGCATGGCGGTGCCATTGCTGTGACAGGCACATGCGTTGTGAAATACGACATCAGCTGCTGCCAGGGGACTGCGTTGAGCTTGAACACAGAGCACATTCAAATGCGCACCGATCGCAGCGTGCCAGTACCGGCGCTGTTGCTCGCTGGCGGCGCAGCAACTGGCGGCGCCGTCAGTGGTTGTGGGACATACTCTCTCGGCACGCTGTCACGCGGAAGGACGTCCATCCTGGCTGGCGCTCGTGTATAGATAGAGTATATGTTGACCAGCTGCGAGTGCTTCAGCCGTGGACATCATTCTAAGAATATGTGCCTATTCAAAATTTGTGTGATCATACCTCGTCAGCCAACCCACGCATAATTGATCTTTCGGGTGCGGGTGTGTGCCATATTAATGCAGACACCGCGTCTTTCCCCATGCATTCTTGCTCGTGTAAGTGTAGATTTTCTTTTAGAATCCAAGCCGCTCTGATAATCATACTGCAATGTCACCCACTAGATCCATCTGATCAAAGGAATTTTACGGTCTTTATATCAGCCCAGGCGTACAAGGAGACACTAGGCATCAGAGATGGACGGGTCTGGCAGCCAGCGCCGCGGTGGAGGCGCCACCGCCGAGCCGGTTGCGGTGCGTGCGGGCAGCGGTCGCGCCGCCGCGCTGCTGGCCGGCCCCCACGCAGTCGCATCCTGCCCAGTCCCAGGCTGCCGCCCAGCCGTGCAGCTGCTCCACCGCCGTCGCGGCACGCAGTGCCGCCGCAGCTGCCCGCCGCCGACCTGGCGCAGCGCGCTCGCTTGGGTGGCGATAAGAGCAGGCGCACCCCTCGGGCTCGGGCCTCAGATCTCGAATTCATAATCCTTGCACCCTCCCCCAGGTGCTGGAAGCCGCCATCCAGCGGATGGTCCAGGATGCAAAGTCCAAGGCCCTCGCGAAGGCCGCCTCCGCCGCGGCGCCGTTCCTGCCGGCCCCGGCCTTCCAGGGGCGGCGGCGCGGATACGCGTTCACGACGCGCGCACAGGGCACCGGGTGCGGCGGCTTGCGCCCCTCCAAACGCGGTTGCAGGGTGGGAAGGATGCTCGCCCTGCCCTGCAGCGGCAGTAGCAGCGGGCCGCCGCAATGCCTACCAGGCGCTTGCTTCTCCAGGTAGTGCAGCCGCACCTGGATACTGCGAAAATATCAGCGGCCCCCTGCTGACTGCCCCCGCAGATACTATCTCGACCCCCACCAGCCGCCCCCCAGCGCCGACGAGGAAGGCGGCGGGCCTGAAGGTACGGCGCCCACGGCGCCCCGCGTTTTGAGCACTTGTCGTGCCTGCTTCGGGTGGTAACACCGCTGTTGTCATCACTCGAAACTCACTGGAAGCCGCGGCGGCCAACATCTGGGCACGTGCCGCGTCTCCTGCTGCTGCGTTTTGCTGCAGATGAGGACAAGGGGGAGGACGACGAGGCGGCGCCGGCGCAGGCGGAGCAATTGGATCCGGAGGAACTGCTGCGGCGCGCCGAGGAGGACGCCGGCGAGGTGGGTGGCCCCGGGTCGCCTGCTGCGTGGTGATGCACAAGGGCATTGGCAGATGGCTTCGTCCGCAGCGAGCCGGCGGGGCGTTGTGAGGGACTGGGGCGGGGGGCTACGGGGCCTGCTCGCCGCGCGGGGGTTGCGCGCATGCTGACGGCAGTCGCGCCCACGCGGCGCCAGCCGGGGTGCAGCTTGTGCAGCGTCGTGGGCTCTGTGCCACACACACAGGCCCCGAGGGCTTTGATTGCACCCCTCCACCACGCAGAACCCCGGATGCGGTTGCACCGCCCGTTCCTGCCCCGCAACCCCACGGACCCACGGCCCCTCCGACTCACCACCCTTACCCCCAACCCCCTGAAT